TCCCCCGAGATGGATTCCGGCTCTACCCTTCACCAGAAGTACTATTTCTGAAGTCTGTGTTGCCTTTATTGTTAGTGAATCCCATGGAATCAGTACTTGGCTGCTTGACAGAATGTGAATGCAGCACTGAATCCTGGGGCTTTCATGCTCCGATCACCTCCGTTTCCTTCTCAAATTCCTGCCACCCCTTTTCGGTCTCCCCTGTGCAGGTTTTCTTCTATTAGTTTATGTTGATGCCCAGAGCCCTTCTCTCGCTCCAGGAATGTGCCCCAAGCAATCCTGCCTATGGCTGACATTTGTATACAGAGGAATTCTTGTGCTAGAGGTCCCCACTACCACCTTCAAACTCAGTAATTCTCTAGAAGGACTCAGAGGACTCAGACAATGTGTTATATACTGTGAGTATGGTTTATTTCAACCAAAAGATACAGATCAAAATCAGCAACGAAGAAGAGGAGCACAGGGCAAAGACCAAGAAGAGTATGGCCCCGGTTTCCAGGTGTCCCTGTGCAGTGCAAAGGGACACAAGGACACGTTTAACATTCCCAGCAGTGATGTGTGACAACACCTGTGAAGTGTTGCTCTCCAGTGAGGCTCTCCTGAGCCACAGCGTGCAGGGCTTTTACCGGAGATCAGTCACGTGCACGTACCGTACCTATGCACCTGACCTCGGCTGCTCACCACCCCACTTCCTGAGCCAAGACGAAGGTTCCCCACTAACCACACTGCCAGGGCAGGCATATCTGGCCAGACTGGTACAGCACGGCATCAAGCCTTAGGCATACAGAAGCCTTCTTCGCAGGCAGCCCCCTCTGTGGGCGTAGAGGTCACCTGCCAGGGGCCTGCCAAGAGCCCGCCTTGACGACAGGCCCTTCTCGGTGCTGTGTAGGGCCTGAGTAACCCTCTCTTGTTCACATCTATATCCGTATCTTTAACTTTTAAATTTCTCGTTTTTATGTCTGATTGCTATGGGACATCTCAGTTTTAGTGTGTCGTGGGCCATTGCAGATTCAGCCTGTGCAAAACTGATTACAGCATGTTCCACTGTTACTTATCCTTATTTTCCAGATGCCCATAGACGGTCTTGACTTTGCTTATATCCCCCCTCATCTAGGATGTTACCATTTCTAATAAAATAAACCATTATAAATAACACCAGATCTACTTCTCCTCATTCTTTCTGCCGCTTCCCTACTCCAGGTTGTCTATACCACGTACTGGAATTATGAGCTTCCATCTGGAATTTCTGCCTCTAGTGTGTGGTGTTTTGTTTTGTTTTTTTTTTCCATTTAATATCTTTATGGAGGTATAAATCACATAGCATAAAACTCACTCCTATAAACAATTCAGGAGCTTTTAGTATATTCACAGAGTTCTGCAACTGTCACTTTAACCTAAGACCATTTTTATTACCCCCCCAAGCAAACCTTGTAATGAGCAGCAGTGACGCCCCATCCTCCTCCCTCTCTGGGCAACCACTAATTTACTTTTTGCTTTTTCACACAGCCTTTATGGAGATATAATTCACATCCCATACAATTCACCCGTCTAAGGTATACAGTTGACTGGATTATAGCGCATCCATAGTTACACAGCCATCACCACTATCTGTTTTAGATTTTCATCATCCCCCAGAGCAAGCGCGTCCCCATGAACAAGCACTCCCCATTCCTGTCCCCTGCCATTCCTCATTCTGTCACGTGCCACCATGAATCCACCTCTGTGGGTTTGCCAGGTTTGGACATTTTGTGTACAATAGCACAAAATGTATGGTCTTTTGTCCTGCCTTCTTTCATTTAGCATACTGTTTTTAAGGTTCATTCGGTTGATTTGTCATTGCTGGATGATATTCCATTGTATGGATGTACTGTGTTTTATTTGTGTGTTATATGTCCGTTTATTAGTCAAGGACTTTGGGGTTATTTCTGTTTCTTGGCTATTATAAATAATGCTGATGTGAACATTCACGTACACATTTTTGGGTGGATGTATAGTCTCACTTTCTTGGGTATTACCTAGGAGTGGAGTTGTTGGGTCACTTGGTAACTGTGTTTAACAGTTTTGAGGCACTGATGACTGGTTTTCCCAAGTGGCTGGACCATTTTCACTGCCACCAACAAGGTGTAAGGCTTCCATTTTCTTCAGTGTTCTCTCAGTCACTACAATACCCTTTGTTTAAAGAAACTATTTGAACATCAATCTACAGTAATTTATGTCTGGGCTCTCAATTCTATTTTATTGATCTTTATGTCTACCCTTTGATCCAGTAAGTACTACACAGTCTTTTTTTTAAATGTTTTATTTATTATTGAGAGACAGAGCATGAACAAGAGGGGAGGGGTAGAGAGAGAGGGAAACACAGAATCCAAAGCAGGCTTCAGGCTCTGAGCCGTCCGCACAGAGCCTGATGCGGGGCTCGAACTCACAAACCATGAGATCATGACCTGAGCCGAAGTCGGACGCTTAACCGACTGAGCCACCCAGGCGCCCCTACACAGTCTTTATTTCTGTAGCTTTGTAGGAAGTTTTGATGTGGGAACATAATCAGTCTTCCAACTTTGTTATTCTTTCTTATAATTGTTTTGGATATACTAGGTCCCTTGGATTTTCGTATATAAGTTTTAGCAAAGAAACCAGCTGGGATTTTTGAGAGGGTTTTCCTTGATTCTGTAGATCAATTTGGGAGGTGGGAAAGCAGAGTAGGAATATTGTCCATCTAGCCATGAATACTGGATATCTTTCCATTTACTTAGATTTTAAAAATTTTCTCCCAACAATATTTTGTAGTTTTCAGTATATAAATGTTGCTCTTATTTTGTTAATTTATTCCCGAGTATGTTATTCTTTATGATGCTACTCTAAATGGAATTTTCTTAATTTTACTTTTGTGTTGTTCATTGTTAGTGGAAAGAAATAAAATCGATTTTGTATATTGATCTTATATCCTGCAGCCTTGTGAAACACAATTATCGACTCTAATAATGCTTTTGTGGATTATTTGTGATTTTCTTTGCATAGGATTATGCCATACCATATATGAACAAAGGTGGTTTTAGTTCTTCCCTTTCAATCTGAGCACTATTACTTTTTTTTTTCTTACATAGTTGTCCTGTCTAGAATCTCGAGTACAATGTTGGATAGATGTGGTGACAGTAGACATCTTTGTCTTGGTCTTCATTTTTGGATGATTCTTTTAGTTTTTTATTATTAAGTATAATGTTAACTGTGGGTTTTTTTTATAGTTTGTTGAGTGTTTCTATCATTGAAATGTATTGGATTCTTCTCTCAAATGTTTTTTCTCTGTATTAAAATGATCGGTTTTTTTTTGTTTGTTTGTTTCATTCTCTTCTTATGGTATTACATTAGCTGATTTTTAGGTATTAAACCAAAATAGCAATTCTAGTATGTTTTACTTGGTTCTTATGTATAGTCCTCCCTTTTATCTTGTTTATACTGCTGGATTTGGCTTTGTAATTTTTTGAGAGCCTCCGCATCTATATTCATCAGAATATTCATCTATAGGTTTCTTTTTTTGTAACGTCTTTGTCTGTGTTGATACCCGGACAATACTGGCTTTGTAGGAAGAGTGAGGGAGTGCTCCCTCCTCTTTAATTTTTTTTGGAAGTTTGTAAAGTATTAGCGTTAATTGTTTGTGGAATTCACCCTTGAAGTCTTGTGGGCCTTCACATTTGCAAGACATTTATTTATCCGGTACTAATTTAGTCTCTTTGCTTATCTGTTCCAATTTTCTGTTTCTTCTTGAGTCAGTTTTGGTAATTTGTGACTTTTTAGGATCCATCCATGTCACGGTGTCATCTTCGTTACCTAATTTGTTGGCATACATGATCATAATTATTTCTAAAACACAAATCTAGGTATGCAGCTCTCCTCCTTAAAACTGTTAAATGCTTTTTAGTACCCTTAGTTCTAAACCTTTAAAGTTATACTTAAAATGACTTGGGGCTTTGTTGAATTTGGTTTCTGCTTTCTACTCCATGTTGAGACCAGCCTCCCTGTACACTACCCCCCCCCCCAAGTTGTTTCTTTATTTCAGCCATGTAGCACTTCTTCCAGTTCCCTACACACCATTTCTTAGGGTCTTAAAATACGATTTTTTCCTCCCATCTAGAGTATTTTATAGCCCCTCCTCTGGCAATTAGTTCCCACTCATACTTACATGACACATCTTAGAGAGAACCTACTCTTACTACCACAGCTTAAGTTAGATGCCTTTCCTTTTTGACCATTTAGACCGAACTTCCTTTCTATTGGGAAGCAGATGACTTTTGTTTATTTATTACATGTCTTTCCTGATGATTGTTGAATGGCGTTGGAGGTATTAAGGAAAGGAGGAATCAGGGATCGCTCCCAGGGTTCCTCAGATGAATATTTAGAGAATAATGTAAGACAAAGAAGAGCAAGCCTCCAAGTATAAAATGTATTCAGTTTTGAAAATGGTGCCTTTTTCTAGTATAATATCCAAATGGAATTGTACAAAAAGAATGTGTACATGTGGCTCTTAATTTTAGTAAAGCCATCATGTTGTATGTATGCCTTCCTCCTTTGTTAGAGTGTAAGCTCATTGGCTGCAGAGACCCTGGCTTGCTTCTCTGGTTTTGTTAGTTTGCACTTCACAGATGCTCAGTAACTATGAGTTGAATTGAGTTGTAAATAACAGTGCCACGTGTCTGTCTGTATATGGTATCTTAATTTTATTATAAATATCTCACTTGGAAAGTATGCCCCACACAAGGAGTAATGGCTGACTGTAGAAAATTTTAGCTTGGGGAAATTACTGGGGTTTTTTGTTTTCTGTTTTTTTTTTTTCCTTTTTTACAATTGATTGATGCGTTTTCATTTCCACAAACTCAAATCTTACGAAGTCAGCTATTTTCCTTGCCTTTTTTTTTTTTCTATTAAATATTGTTATTTTTCTGGTCCTAGGTACGTTTGTATTTTTCACATGAGGTGAATCATGTTGTCTTCTGTCTTCTGTGTAGGACTATAATGATGAAATCAGGCAAGCACAGCTCCAAGAGTTGACGTATTTGAATGGTGGTTCAGAAAACACGGACGTCCCAGTTGTTCGAGGAAAACCCACCTTGCGTACAAGAGGTGTACCAGCCCCAGCAGTAACCAGGTCGGTGCAATTAATTGACTTTACTTTTGTCGTTGTTAGAATTGGGTACCATGGCAACCGTTTTAACCTTTTTTTTTTTTTTTTTAATTAATAGTCAAACAGCTCTATCAGTGTATCAGTACAGAGCCTTTAAGGATATATTCAGACATTATGATGTCATATTGAGGGGATTCCCTTTGTTTGAACTGAGATATTCCTGGGTTTAAACATAACCTCTACTACTTACCAGCTGATGACTATAGACAAGTTTATTTATCACTCTAACATTAAGTTTTTGATTGTTTAAAATGAATCTTATTTTATTTTATTTTATTTATTTATTTTTTTTAAATTTTCAACGTTTATTTATTTTTGGGACAGAGAGAGACAGAGCATGAACGGGGGAGGGGCAGGGAGAGAGGGAGACACAGAATCGGAAACAGGCTCCAGGCTCTGAGCCATCAGCCCAGAGCCCTACGCGGGGCTCAAACTCACGGACGGCGAGATCGTGACCTGGCTGAAGTCGGACGCTTAACCGACTGCGCCACCCAGGCGCCCCAAAATGAATCTTATTTTAAAGTAATAGCACTGATAATGCAAATTGAGATAATGGAAGCAAGGGCTTTCCCCATGGAATACAAGATTAGGCTGGTTCATTGCCACATCTCCAGTGTGGAGCACGATGTCAGGCACGAAGTGGGGTGTCCATGAGCTTGTCATTTTATTCACTGGGAATGCCCTGTGGTATCTGAAAACTCCCGAGTTGGTCCACACACACAGAATTTTTTTTTTTTTTTTTTTGTCTCTGGATTGATGACTTTTTAATATGAAAATGCCTAGTGAATTCATGAAACAATTTAAACATAACCATGTATTGAGAAATGGCTGTCTCAGATTTATTTGAGAATTATTTTTAATTTTTTACCCAAAAGAAGAAGTGACACAGATTTTTCACTGGTGACTATATATATATATATATATATATATATATATATATTATATATTTTTTTCAGATAGAATTATGCATGAAATAATTTAAAGTAGCATTCTTTTATGTCTCCAAGTTAATTTGAGACAATAAAAAAATCAGTCTTTTTATTTGAGTGTTGTTGATCAGGCCCTGGTCAACGAGCGCAATTACAAATAGACGTTATTGCAGTGTGAAATAAACAGATCTGTTCACGGTGCCAAGTGGGTTTTCTCTATAAGAAAAGGCTAATAATAATGGGATTGCTGTTGATGGTTTAAAGAGATAATTTATGTGAGTGTTCAGTAAGTGGTAAATCCCTTTCGTTTTCATTTCTTCTGTCATTAAATTTACTTCAAATCATAAGAAATTACAGTTGACCCTTGACCAATGTGGGGGATAAGGGCACTGATCCCTCGCATAGTCAAAACTCCATGTATAACTTTTGACTCCCTGAAAACTTCACTCCTAATAGCTCACTGTTGGCTGCGAAGCCGTAACGACAGCACAGTTGATTAACACGTATTTTGTATATGTATTAAATACTGTATTCTTACAATAAAATAAGCTAGATAAAAGCAAACGTTGTTAAGAAATTCATGAGGAAGAGACAACAGTAGTAGTGTAAATGTATTATTTCTTGAAAAAATCCACACGTCAGTGGATCCACACAGTTGGAACCCATGTTCAAGGGGCAACTGTCTGTCCTTGCTGTATTAGCTTCCTGTGGTAGCTGTGATGAATTACTCCAGACATGGTGGCTTTAAACAGTAGAGATTGATCACAGTTGTGGGGGCCACATGTCCAAAATCAGTATTGTCGGACCACAGTCAAGGTGTTAGTGTCCCCCCTCTAGAAGAGAATCCTTTCCTCGTCCCTTCCAGTGTCTCGTGCCTGCTGATCTTTCTTGACTCATGGCCGCGTGCCTCTGGTGTCTCCCTCCACCTGCGTGTTGATTTCTGTCACATCTGTCTTTGATCCCCGTGGGCTTCCCTCTTCCCTGTGATGGTATTTAGGGCCTATCTGGATGATCCAGGGTACTCTTCCCATCTCAAGATTGCCCGATAATCACATCTGCAAAGGCCCTTTTTCTAAAGAAGGCGACAGTTGCAGAACGGGTGTCCAGAATAGAGAGCGTAGAGAAGAGCGCACACCCAGTGCCACTGTTCATGACACTTCTTAGGGATGCTGTGTTCCTTAAACCACATCTACCGTTTTTACAGAAGATAATTTCTAATTTAGTTGTCAGGTGTTGAATTAAGTTGAAAATGTTAGGAACAGATGAGGAGGGCAGAAGCTCTCTGTTTTGTGGCGTATGGTGTCTGGAGAAACACCACAGGCCGCCCAGATGAAAAACTGTCCCTCTTGATGACAGCATATAGGCCGGTTGCCTGAGGCTCTCCATTGTCTTGACAGGTAATGTTCTCTGATGCAACCCTGCGGTAGTTTGTGGCGGGGTAATGGCTGGTCAGTGCGTGGCTCTGGGCAGAGCTTTCTCTCCTGCATTTGATTATGGGCTTCCTCGGTACCACATCTTTCAAATACCCTGCTTTTTTCAGTGTAAAACCCCTGTTCCTAGAAGAGGTACTCGAAACCCTTCTGTATTTTTTCTGAAGACCTCGCTCCACATGTCTGTATTGATTGCTCTGCCCTGTTTCCTGTGTGTTCAACCCTGGGCTGGAAACGGCTTGTTGCATGAAGTTGGAGCTCACGCCCTTTCCTGCCTTTGCCCACATTGTTCACTGTTCTCTGCCCAGAGTTCTGTGTCTTCTCTCAGCCCCTCACTTGTTTATAGCCTACTTATCTTCGTGTCTCAAACCGAAACTCATTTTAACAAACGCCTTGCATCTACTACTGAGGACTGTTCTCAGCACTTTACAGGCAATAACTAGGTCAAGCCTCATAACAACCCTGTGAGGTGGGTGCTGTTATATTAACTCACCATTTTACAAACAGGGAAGTGACTACTTGCCCAAAGCCAGCCGGCCTGGGGCGCTGGCAGCCGGGTTCCAAGTCCATGCCCCTCCCCTCTCTTTAATCCTTCCTTTGCATTTTCATCTACAATCTGTTTCTTCTTCCATCCATTCTCCCACTGCATCTCTTCCACACAACTTTGATTCTGTCACTTACATTGTATTCTTACTGCGACACATGGCGGCATTTTTTTTAATAGAGTTACTTTTATTTTATTTTATTTTATTTTATTTTATTTTATTTTATTTTATTTTATTATTTTTTTAATGTTTATTGATTTTGGAGAAAGAGCCAGAGTGTGAGTGGGGAAGGGACAGAGAGACAGAGGGAGACCCAGAATCCAAAACAGGCTCCAGACTCTGAGCTGTCAGTGCACAGCCCCACATGGGGCTCGAACTCAGGATGGGTGAGAACATGACCCGGGCTGAAGACGGACACTGCACCAGCGGAGTCACCAGGCGCCCCCGTGATGGTACTTTTAATACAAGATGTGATGAAAGTACATCTATATATGTATATATATTCTACTACTTTTCCTCATTAAATCACACATCATAACTTGTGCATCTCCCAGAATAAAAATAAATGGATGTGGAAACCAGGATAAAAAATTACGAAAATTCCAGGGGTAAAGTTAGTACACAAGAGTACGTGTTATTCCGGACAGTCGCAGAGATGGTCTTCGAATTGTGCTTTGAGCTTCCTTGTAACCAAAGCTGAGGAAGACAAGGCTATGGAATTCACTGGGTCTGAATATCTAAAAAAGTAATAAAAGACAAACATGCTCATTAAAGCCAGTGCTTCCTAGTCCTGAAACTTGTGAGAAGTGTCCGCAGTGCACAGTCCCCAGTAGATCTCTGCCACAGCCAGTCCCTCCATAATGCCATTTGGATTCTCCCTCTAAAATAAGTCTGGTTTTCCTTAATCACCTCTTCCATCCTCCCTAATCTGGCCACACTGCTCGTCCGGTTTTCATTTACAGTCTTAATGACTGGTTAAAATCCAAGTTGGTTTTTGTCTTCTCCCTGCTTCAGTTTCCTCGGTGGCTCTCTGTGCTGTTACAGGAACACCCGAACCTCCTGCCGGGCTCGATGACAGGCGCATCATCATCTGGCACTCTCCCCGCCCTTTCTGACCTTGTGGTTTTCCTGTACTGTGGCCAGGCTGCCCTCCTTCCTGTCTGGCAAACTGGCCAAGCTTATTTCCCTCTCACGCCCTTTACATTCACTACCCCGGCTCTCACCTCGTCCCTGGGCCACCCGGTGGTAGGCAGACACAGGCATGGTATCCGAGAAGCCTTGCTGATCACCTTGTTCAAAGTCACCATCCCCCAGTCCCAGAGCTGGTCTACAGCATCCTGTCTGGGTTCCTTAGTAGCATTTACTAAACTGAATTCCACCTTTCTTGTTTGTTCCCTTTTTCATTGGTTACTCCTCATTATAATGTAAACCTGCAAGGGCTCTTGTGTCCTAGGACCTGGCCTAAAGTAGTCACTCAGTAAAAAGCTGTTAGGTGAATACAGTACAATAGCAGGTCCTTTAGGCTCATTCTGGTCAAGTGTTGATCATTCAGAGTATTTTGTGTTAATATAATTCGCTGCCACCTGACTGAATGTACTAGGGGATTAGCTTCGCAGGGGTGGTCATGTGGTTATCACCATTTTGGTATTTCAGAGTGGAACAAGTTATTACGAGAGTCTTCATGAATGTTCCCCACTGTTACCACTTCAGGATGCTTTTCTGCTGAAAGATGTAAATGATCTAAAATTAAATCCTGCAGTGGGAAGTGATATGTGTTTTAATAAAACCTTTCCTTTCAGTTTCAAATGAGAGAACTAAACTTATACCTTTTTTAACTTAGGAGGTAAGGAAGCTTCTCTACTTCCAGTCCATCCTGTCCAGGGCCTCCAGAAACCCTGCCGTGAGATGCCTCCTCCCTAGCTCTTTGCACGGACCCCAGCACAGAAGGAGGCTGGAGAGTTGAGGCCGCTCTGGGCAGCACGCTTTTGGGCCGGTCTTCTCCACCCTGGCCTGCCGCCGCCGGCGGTCTGAGCTGAGCAGCCCTGACCTCGGGGATGCTC